CGGCCTAAGTAACAGCGCACTCTCGCGAACTCGATTGGTCTCCGGGTACTTTACACCCTCGCTGTATGGACTTCCTGACTCACTAACCGTACGGAATACCGCACTCATAGCGGACTCCAGGTCACACGGACGGCGGCCTACAGCAAACTCGCTGCCTAACTATAAGCCGCTGCAGCCTGCTGGCTGCCTCAGTGAACGCCACCTGCCCTGTACGGGCTGCCTCGGTCACGGAGGCACCGCTGTACGGACGGACTCAGTAATGGCGGACTCCCGGGTACCGAATGCCTCAGTAACGGCCGACTCTGGCTAGGTTATTGGGTCTTGTGATACTTCACACCTCGCTGTACGGACTGCCTGTCCAGGAATGGCGGCATCCAGGGCATTGGCTGACTTAGTAATGGCGGCCGCCACCCCGAACAGAATGCCGCAATCATAGCGGACTCTAGGTTACTGGCTACATCAAAAATCGCGGCCTACAAGGTACTGGGTGCCTCAATAATGGCAACTTCTAGGTTTCGGACTGACAGCGTGAAGGCACAAGTTCACCACGTCAGTGCAGCAGCCAAGGCCTCCCTTTCCGGGGCTGGGACGGGAAGAGGTGCAAAAGCCAGACCCGTGACTTCAGTCCATCCAGGGAAGGAATGATTTCAGCCCTGTACAGGCTCGATGATTTTGTCTGTGTGGTGTTTTTTGGTGTCTTTGTTTGTTTTTCTGGGTATAAATTTTCGTCTTGTTCACAGGGCATTAGCTGGCATTTCAGCACCACGGACAGAAGCACAAGATGTTATTCATTGAATATCCACAAGAGGGCAGCAGAGGATCGTTTTTACGCAGGAATTGGCTAACAGCATCCTTTGAGGTTTCTGTCATAAGCACATAGATGCATAGACGTGTACAGTAAAAGCAGTAACTTACTTGAAGGAGAAATAAAAACGTTTATCCTATAAAACCAGAGTATAAGTCTAATCTATTATTACATTCTCATAAATCGCAAAATAAGGAATCCTTGTTCTTAGCACATTTCTACAGGACTATTTCATCTTTCATTCTGAAAGAGACAGGCATAGGTATCGAACAGAACTTTGACTTACAAGAACACGTTTCAAAACCACTGTGCTAAGCCACCAAACTATTTAGATTCTTTTTATTCAGAAAATAATGTCTTTACAACTAATTTGCTAGGTGAAGAAAATACTCAGTCATAATAACCTCATGTCACTGAACTAACCTGAAAAAAACAAAAGAAAGCAATATTGGAATTTAATAGCATCCTGAAAGGACGACTCATTTGCATGCTTCTGAAATACTATCAGACAATCCACATTTTGCAACCCAAATTCATTTTTTGCAAACCAATTCACCATTTCAAAAAAAAAATTTCACCTTTTGCAGAGAAAATTCCCCTTTTACAAAGCAAATTCAACTTTGGCAAAGCAAATCCTCCATTGCCTCTGAAAATTCACCTTTTACACTTCTGACCCGTATGACCTGACCATGAACCCTCACCCTAAAACCCTAACACTGAACCCAGCCCAAGCCCCAGCCATAACTTTGAACTCTAACCCTTGACCAAGCTCAAATTTATAGTTTTAAAAGTGAACAGAATCCGTAGCTGCTGTTGCTCACTAGAGGCTTGCCAGACATACACTCTCCGCTCCATAGTTTAAAAAAATGGCACCAATGAACATATTAGCCAGGGTGGACCAGTCACCTTAAGGGGAACCTCAGTGCAACAGTCTCCTGGGCCTCCCTTTGCACGGCTGGGGCAGGAAGAGGTGCAGAACCCAGCGCCGTGACTTTGCTCCATCCAGGATGGAATGATTGCCTCCCTGGCCAGCCTCGCTGATTTTCTGACGGTGTTTCTCTGGGGAGAATTTTTGGTCGTGTTCACGGGGCTTTAGCTGGCATTTCAGCGCAAGGGACAGAGGCACAGTGTGTTATTCCTTTAATGGCCACAGGAGGGCAGCAGCGGATAGTTCTTTGCATGACAGCTTCCTTTGGAGGTCTAGTGTAATAAGTATATGGTTCCACAGACAGACGTGTACAGTATAATCAGTAACTTCCTTGAAAGGAAATGAAAGCGTTTACCTTTAAAACCAGTGTACAACGCTGCTCTATGAGTACATTCTGATAAATCACAAAATAAGGAATCCTTACTCTTTGCCCATTTCCACAGTATTATTTTATCTTTCATTCTGAAAGAGACAGGCATAGGTATTGAGCAGAAGCCCTTGAGCCACAAGAACACGTTTCAACACCACTGTATTGCAACACCAAACTATTAACATGAATTTTTTAATCAGAAAAAAGAAAAAAGAAAAAGAAGAAAAAACGTGCTTACAACTAATTTACTAGGGGGAAAAGTGCTCAGCAATAATAACCTTAATGTCACAGAAGTAACTTGAAAAAATAAGGAGCAATATTGGAATTTACTAGGATCCTGGAAAGGGCTACTCATTTCGATGCTTCTCAAATACACACTAATTCACATTTTCCAACCCAAATTCACCTTTTCCAAAGCAAATTCACCTTTTCCAAAAAAATTCACCTTTTGCAAAGCTAATTCACCTTTTCCAAAGCAAAATCACCTTTTACACTTCAAATTCTTTACCCAAGCAAAGTCATCTTTTGCAAAGAAAATTCTCTCTTTCCAATTAAAATTCACCTTCTGACCCTGACCCCAACCACTCACCCTGAAACCCTAACACCAACTCCAGTCCTCACCCCAATCCCAAACTTGGCCTCTGACCCTTGACTGCCCCTCACATTTATATTTTCAAAAATGAGTAGAGGGAGCGTGAGGGGAACGGAATAGAGTGCAGTCTGCCCAGCAGATCTTGCCGACAGACGGGCCTGGTTGCACGCCCTACAGTGTCGGCCCACTGTGCAGCGTTCCGCAGGGAGCAAGGGCTGTTCCTGGGTCCCTGCACGCCATCCGGCATCGGGCATCCCGGGTCTCCAGCCCACTGGCTGCCATCATTATAGCCCTCAAATTGGTCAAGAGCACATCAACCGCATGTTTGAAAAAGTTGGTCAAGGGCACATCAACCGTATGTTTGAAAAGGAACCTGCAGGACCTGGTGACTGGTATCTGAAACCACGGAAAGGACGAGCCCCCAGTGACACTGGAGCCACCCCCAAGAAATGCCTCTCCTTTGGTCTTTCTCCATAGTCACAGCCAACAGCACAGTACACAGTCTCATCCATCCCTGATTCTGACCCTATTGCCTCCCCCTTATAAAGGCCGCTGTGACCACACTGGGGCCTGTGGGGAATCCAGGGTCCTCCCCATCAATGCAGATAGAAAAGGCTGGGATGTTCTCCCTGGAGCTTCTGGAAGGACCTACCTGTCTTGTTACAGCAGCTGCAGGACACTTTGAATCTCACCTCCTCCCCCCAGTCAGCTCCAAACAACCACTGCTCCTTTAGCCTGAGCGCCTCAAGTGTTGCAGTCCAGTCACACACACCCTCCTCCACGACACAACCCCTCATCCCTCCAGAAACACACTAGCTTCCAGCTGCTCTTCTGTCACCATCTTCCTCACTATCCCAGCCCGGGGTTGTCCCCACTGGGGCTGGAAAAGTCCATCACACCGTTTATGAAGTAAGTCGTGGAGAAGGAACTGCAGCATAGGCAATAGAGTCAGATGGAAACTAGACTGACGGGGTGGTCACTTTGTAAGTTATGTAAATGTGGAATCACTCTCTTGTGCACGTGAGAGTAATGTATTATTGTAAGTCAATTAGAGTTAAAAATAAATTCAGAATAAGAACAACAAAAGTGCACACAATCCGTACCGGGTGTTGCTCACTGGTTAGAGCATTTGCTTACCAAGCATACACTCACCACTCTAGTTAAAAACGGCACCAACGAACATATGAGGTAGGGTGGGTGGGTCACCATAAGGGGAACCTTAGTAGAGCCGTCTACAGGGGCCACGCTTTGAAGACCTTGGGCTGGACGAGCTGAAGAACACAGGGCCGTGATTACAGAATGATTGCCGCCCTGGACAGCTTCGATGATTTTGTGCTGGTGTTTTTTATGGGTAGAATTTTTGGTCGTGTTCACAGGGCTTTGCCTGGATTACAGCACCATGGACAGAGGCACAAGTTGGTATTCCTTGAATGGCCACAGGGGGGCACCAGAGGATTATTTTTGTGCAGGAATGGGCTGACAACATCCTTTAAGGGCTAGCTGCTAGCATAATAAATATCTAGATCCCATAGATGTGCACAGTATAATCAGTAACTTACTTGAAGAAGAAATATAAGCGTTTATCCTATGAACTCAGAGTGTAAGTCTGCTCTATGATTACACTATGATAAATCACGAAATAAAGGATGCTGGGTTTTAGCACATTTCTACAGATTTAATTTAGCTTTCATTTTGAAAATGACACATACTGGAATCAAGCAGAACCCTTCGATTTACAAGAACACGTTTTTAAACCAATGTGTTTATTCAGGAAAAAGTGTTTACAACTAATATACTAGGAGAAAAAATGTACGCAGTCATAATAACTAATGTCACTGCAGTAACTTGAAAAAATAGGAAGCAATATTGGAATTTGCTAATATCCTGAAAGGGTAGACTCATTTTGATGCTACTGAAATACAATCAAATTCACCTTTTACAAAACAAATTCACCATCTCCAAAGCAAATTCACCTGTTCCACTTCTGACTCTGATCTTGTACCATCACCCTAAAATCCTAACGCCACCCCTGCCCTAGCCCCATCCCCAGGCTTTACCTATGACCCTTGACAGAGCTGAAATTTATATTTTAATAGTGAATAGCATCCGTAGCTGGTGTGGATCACTGGTTAAACCATTGGCTTTCCGGACATACACTCCCCACTCTCTAGTTAAAAACGGCACAAACACACATATTAGGCAGGGAGGGTGAGTCACCTTAAAGGGCACCTCAATGCAGCAGTCTCCGGGGCCTCCCTTTGCAGGGCTGGGGCGGGAGAAGGTGCAGAACAAAGAGCCATCACTTCAGTACATCCAGGGCGGGAATCATTGCCGCCCTGGCCAGGCTCTCTGATTTTGCTGTTGTTGTTGTTTTCAGGGTGGAATTTGGGGTGGGCTTCAAAGTGCTTTCGCTGGAATATCAGCACCATGGACAGAGGCACAATGTGTAATTCCTTGAATGACCACAGGAGGGCAGGAGAGGATCACTTTTGAGCAGGAATTGGCAGACTGGGCATGAAAGCCAGGACCCTTTGGGGTACGGGAACTGTTCTAACCATTGAGAAACAGCTGCCAGGCTGAACTCTGGCGCCAGGAGGTGCACCGCACGCAGGGCGCATGGTCAGGGTGCTTGTGTCTGGCCACTGCCACCCCCAGGGCAGCTCTTGTTCCCACAACATCACCATCAGCTCAGGGCAGATGGCAGGGATGTCCCCCGTGACCCTGCGTGTAACACAAGACACGAGGGACAGTATCTGTGATGCTTGGGTCCCCGCACCCGTGCTGTGCGATGCTGGTTGGAGACCGACAGCCACAGCGACAGGCAGTGCTCAGGGTGCAGCTAGGTGAGTAAACACAAGGCGTCCAGAGCATGAAACTTTAATGTAATTGAACAGAACATGTGGCAAACATAACGGATTACAGCCTTGGACTGAAAGGCACCCACCACCCTGCTGGGACACCCCACGCCACTTGGAGAGGCACCACAGGCACAGATTGACAACACACTTCCACGTCCCAATCATCACGTTAGCTGGGGGGAGTCTGGCCTGGCGCAGGGCGGGCAGGAGGGTGGCCGGCAGGGGAACAGTCTCCTGCCCACAACTGCTCAGGGGTGGCCCTAACGTGTGCCGTGGCCTGAGTGGAACACACCCCTTCGACTTGGGATCCATAAACATTTCTCAAACGCTTCCTCCAACATCGGGAGCTACCAAACAACTACATAAACACGGCGTGGACCAGGGACGCACACACCTCCCAGCAGAGCCCCCAGGGAACACGGGAACCTCTTTTCATCAGGATGAGGTTCTGTAACTTGTACTGAACGGTCGAATGTCCACACCTGTCTTCCCTGGGATGCTGGCCTGGCTCCCGGGGGCAGCTCAGCCCCTGTTGCCCCCCGAAAGCTCAAGGGGCACAGCACATTGGCCACCCAGAAGACATCGCTGGAGGCCTGGCTGTCAGACCACGGCACCTGGAATGGCAACACAGCATCACACATGCAGGCTCCCTCTGCCCGGCTCCCCCAAGCTCATCTTTGGCCGACTTGTTCAGTCTGAAGGCAGGAGTGAATCCAGGAGTGAGGAAGGAACCCAGTTCCTCCTAGGAAAGCCTCACCTGGTTGGACGGCAGGTCCTCGCTCAGCTCCCCAGCAGGCACAGGCCCGGGAAAGGTCGACGGGGTAGGAGCCAGCTCCGGGAGGCTGTAGAAGGGGCCACATCAGAACAGGGCTGGTCTCCAGTGGGCACCAAGCAACACCTTCCACCCCGTGGGGAACATGCCTGAGAGTGTCTTTGCACCAGGAGCTCCCCGTGTGCCAGACCCTCAGACCCATCTCCTCCCTGAGGGACCTCAGGGCACAGCGACCAAAGGGGCCCATGGGACACGACAAGCACATGGCTCGGGGGCGGGCGGGGGGGGATAGTGCACCAGAGCGGCTCATGGAGGACACGTGCAGCGAGAAGGTCATGCAGAAGGACGGGCTGGGGAGGTGAAGGAGACAGAGCACCTTACACCCAAACCAGAGGAAGCAGAGGGATGGCGGGGACGGTGGCAGTACAGCTGCCAGGGAGACCTGTCGGCGGGTCCCTACAGGCAATCGCAAACGTCTGTTCCCGACTCCAGGTCACTATGGAGGACGGTCAGGGTTCTCCCACCATCTGAATTGGGACTTCCCCTCCCTCTCGCGTCCCCCTGTAATTCTGCCCTCACTTGGCACCTGGCCTTCAGCGCCAGATTAGTGAGACCCAATCTCTGGGGATGCGGTCCTCGGGGTCACTCTCAGAAATTCCCTCTAGCAGAGGACCCCCCTCCCCGGTCACATCCCTCTGTCCCTCCTGTGTGCAGACTCCTGGACCCTTGTCCCGGCCCCACGGCCGCTCCACAGCACCTAGGCTGCCAAGGCCCTTTAAAACTTCACTCTGGAAATAAAACCAGGATCTCCATGCTGCTCAGAAACTCTGACAGCCTTTATCTGGGAAGAAGAAAATGCCAGAAAGAGGCTGCTGGGTGCCAGGGAAATCTCAGGGAAGAGGCCTAAAAACCGTCCACAGCACAGATGTCCTGTCCACTCTCGTGTTCCCCGTTCTGTCTGGGAGAAACCCCACCCTCTTCCCTTTGGGAGACGCAGGCTAAGGGACTATTGTAGTTTCCAGAAACCTGTAAGCAAAAGGCTTCATCGGCACAAGCTCGGCCAACGCTATGAACCAGGGCTCTGCAGGCTTACCTCTGGGGCAGGACCAACTCCGGAGCCTGTGGTGGGGGCTGTGTCACCAGGAAGCTGCCTGCCTGGCTGACGCTGGTGCCCGGACCCTCCTCCAGGAATGTGCTCTGGGGGTGGCTGCCGGGCAGGTCAGGGAGCCCTGCATGAAGGAAAGGCCACAGCCCACTGCAGGGAGGAAGGGCCAAGCTCACACACAGCACAACCAAGACCTGCAGGACAGGAGTGTCCAGCTGCCTGGCCACAGCCCGCAGCCTCCCTCCCTGAAGGAGGACTGGCCACAACTGTTCATCTCAGCGGTGCCTTCAGGCTTCCAGAGGACACAACGAAGGCCAATTCTCCTTGTCTGACTGTGCCCCCACCCAAGACTCAGCATCCGAATCTGCCCACCCACTGCCATGGGAGGTCGGGACATTGTCACTTCACCTTTGGCTTCACTGAGGTCCAAGGTGCCACAACCTTACCTTTCTCCACTTACATTGTTTCACAGAATATTTCCCTCTCTCTCTCCCTCCCCCCTCTCTATCTATATATTTCCAATTAATCTTAGAGAGGAAGGGAGAGGGAGAGAAACACCAGTGATGAAAGAATCATTGACAGGCAGCATCCTGCACGCACCACACTGGGGATCAAGTCCGAAAACCAGGCATGTGCCCTGACCGGGAATCCTACCATGACCTCCTGGTTCATAGGTGGATGCTCAAACACGGAGCCCTGCCGGCCCGGCAGAAAATTGGTCACGCTTAAAGACAAGCCCCTGTGGCCCTGGCTGGTGTGGCTCAGTGGACAGAGTGTCAGACTGTGGACTGAAAGGTCCAGGGTTTGATTCCGGTCAAGGGCACATGCCCAGGTTGCGGTCTCAGAAGCTCGGCCCTGTGCCGTAGCAGCAGGTGCTGGCAGGCAGGCAAGTGCACAGAGTGGGGAGTGGAGGACTGGCAGCTGCTTCGTTTCCTTTTTGCTCTTTCCTCGCATCTTATTTTGTTTCACGTGCATGTTTTATTTTGACAAATGAAACAGATAAGAACTATAACCTGGGATGTTTGTCGCAAGAGCCTCTTTGAGGCTCACTGGTTCTGGGTCTAATCAAGCAGAGGGTTCAGGAAGCCCTGACCCTTCCCATACCTCCCTGCCCCCCAGAGATGCCCGTAGCTGCAGCCTCTGGTGCAGAAACTCATGGTCCCAGTGGAGTGGACTCACCTGTGGAGCTGGGCTCGGCGACTGTGGAAATGGACACCGACATAGAAGCGTCCGAAGGAGGCATCCAGAAGTGCGGCCCGTGACTGTGCACCAGCTGTCCAGAGTGAACGGAAGCGTCCCTGGAGGACGCCGGTGTGAGGGACACCAGCCAGGGCTCGGGCGCAGCTGAAGGGTCCAGCAAGTCGCTGCGGGCAGCCAGCCCAGCGAAGCCAGGGTCAGGGTAGACGGCGGGGAGAGTGGATGGGTCGCGGCCAGGCCCCTCCGGATACATCTCGCCGCCCTGCAGAGAGCTGGGAAGCCCCACGAACACTGTCCCTTGGTGGACGGAGGCTCGCTCCGGCCAGGACAGTCACTGACGGCATGGGGCCCACCATTCCCCAATCCTGCTGCCTTCACTGCTCTCCTGTGCCTGCAAACGCTCTACAGACACTTAGAAGAAAGTATGATAACTGGAAACCCAAGATACACTCGCAGTTCCTTCAAAGGCCTCAGGGAAGCACTCTCCACGCACTGAGAGCTGGACGTGGCTAGGAAGGGCCTAGCAGGCGACTGAATAGACGATGGTTGGTCTCAAAGGAACACGAGGCAGCAGTGGATAATCATGAGAGAATAAATAATCCACAAATGCTCACCGTGTCTCAGATGGTGCTCCCGGGCCTCTGTCAACAACCCTCACCCCAGGAACCGTGGCAACAACCACAAGGCAGGTCCTGCAAGTCCCCACTTCACAGGTGAAAAAAGCGAGGCAGGGAGGTCACAGCACCCGCCTAGAGACACACAGCCGGTGCTGTCACTGGACATCAGGTGCCAGGCCAGGCACTACCCTGTACAGCAGGAACCCGGCAGTGCTGGCCCTGATCAACCCAATGAAACAAACCACACCAAACACCAGAAGCAAACAAACCACGACAGCTGGGTGTGCCTGCAGGCGATAGGTTTGCGTATTTTTCTTTCTGCGTCTGTTTCCCCTTCTCCATCACGCGCAGGACGCCAGGCTGTGAGTCAGTCACGGGGAACAAGTGCAGGGTCCCTGACCGCGGCTCCCGGCAAGGGCGCCCGCACTCCTGTGGCCACAGCCCTCCCAGACCTGGTCCCAGCGGGCCCAGCACGCCCATGCTCATTCCCCCTGGTATCCTGCTGACGGTGGGGAAGCTGAACAAGGAGAACAGACCGTGGGGATGACAGTACCTGGGAGTCAGTGATTCGGGCATTGTCCCGTCTCCAGAAACGTCCAAGGCCAGGGCCGGAGGCTGCCAAAACCCTGGAGTGGTCACCGGGGTTCGAGCCGGCCCATTCTCCTCACCTCCTGTAGAAAGCCAGTTGGACGGGAGGGAGGCTGGATGGACCTTAAGTTCCAGCCTCCTTCCCAGCAGCCACAGGAGCCCTGCTGTGGGGAAAGGTGTGACCACCGAGTCCTTCCAACAGTCTGTGTCCCGTGATGCACCTTTACTCTGAGCAACAATCCCTCACTAGACACCCTGCTCCCCAAACCTACGCACTTGGCCCGGGCCAAGTGGCCTCCACACACGAAGGCAGCCGCAGCCCCATCTGACCCTCAGCCTCACTGTTCTTGCTCCTCAGGGTGAGTGTGCAGGTCAGGATTAGGGTTAGGCCTGGCCCTGGACACGGTGCGGTGACCGGGCAGCTGAGGTCAGCTCCCAGCATGGGGACCTTTGGGCCACTCACCTGCCCACTGAGGTGGGTGCCCACCCACGAAGCCGGGGTGGCGGTGGCCTGAGGGCTGCGGCTCCAAACACTGGAGACCCGCCTTCTGGCGCCGGCGGTAATTGCCAAACCAGGTGTTGACCTGCGCCACGGTGAGGCTGGTCTCTGCAGCCAGGGCCTCCTGCGGAGACATGGGATCTGAGCCCAGCAGCAGGGTGCACAGGGGAGGGGGGTGCACGATGGTCACCAGAGGCCAGACTGCTGCGCAGCAGGCGGGGGCACCGAGGGCTGCCTGGCCTGACTCTCGGGCTCTCACCCGCTCGGCCTTGCTGGGGCTGCTGCTCACACCCGAGGCGAAGCTCTGCAACTTCTGGCGAACCTCCCAGGTGAATCTGAAGCTCTTCAGTCCGTCAGGGCAGAGGGAGGGGGGTGGCGGGTTCCTGGGGAGCACAGACAGGGGGTGTCACAGCCTCCCTTCTCCTGGCACCGCTCCTGTTAAACCTCCTGTGCCCAGAACACGGTGCCCTGCACGCCCTCTGCTCACAGGCCACTCCTCCCAGTTCCTATGCTGCCAGGTCCCAGGGCCCCGTCTCCTGAGGGGTGAGGGCTCCCCGGCCCCACTTGCAGGTTGCACCAGGGCTTCCAGGACATGCAGCGAGATGCCAGGCCTGACAAATGCCAAGAACTGGGGAAGCTACATGGTGAGGATGCTGAGATTGGTTATGCTTGATCGTTGTGAAAATCTGAGTTATTTTAAAAGAAAACAGTGGCATCTAAACAAATAGCACCTGTCTATACAAAACTTAAAGTCCAAACACCAACTGAACAAATACCCTGGATGTCAAAAAGGCATCCCACTCACCCAAATCCCAAGTGGAGCTTGTCCCCAGCCCTCCCCACATCCCCCCAGCGCCCGTCCTGTGCACATGGTGAGGAGCCACCACATTCCAGCCGCTAGGCCAAGAGCACTGAGTCCAGCTTGAATCTTTCTTTTGCTCCTCAAAGACATACAAGCCATTGGCAAATCCTCCAAATTCTATTTTCAAAAAAATGTATTTTTATTGATTTCAGAGAGGAAGGGAGAGGGAGATGGAAACATCAATGATGAAAGAGAATCATGGATCGGCTGCCTCCTGCACACCCTCCACGGGGGATTGAACCCGAAACCTGGGCATGTGCCCTTGCCGGGAATCGAACCTGGGACCCTTCAGTCAGCAGGCCGGCGCTCTATCCACCGAGCCAACCCAGCTAGGGAGGGCCAAACTCTATCTTAACACAACCCTTTCTTCAGCCACTGCCAGAGACTCAGAACCTCCGGCTCCTGCTCCTGCACTGGCCTCTGCTGTAACTCCCCTGCCCCCTCCTTGTGCCCCTGGGGACCGCCATCCACTTGCTCAGGTCTCTCCTCCAGGACTGGACGGGCCCGCACTCAGCCCTCCCCACAGCAAGAACAATGGGTCCCAGCCCCCTTCGGAGAACCTTCCGTCTCCCCTTCCTCACTCTGAATCATGGGATGTACAGTGTTGCCCTGACTACTGTCTATCCTCTACCCAAGGTCAGCTCTGGAGAACAAAGCCCAGTTTCTGGCCTCAGCACCTCCAATAGCACCACAACGAGAGCCTCTTCACAGACACTGCTGGTCCCAAACCATTTCCCGTGCTGAGCTGCACTCGGGCCGCTCCCAGCACCTACAGGGAGGGACACCCTGCAGCCTGGAAGACACGGAGGTTGAGTGAATGTCGGGTCTGAGGACATAGCTCACTGTCTGCAGCAGCATGAAAACATTCTCTCTGGTCAGAAAGGAATGGGTCTCTTCTGGACACGAACCAGGACCTGGAGCTGAGGAGTCCTGCACCTGGGCTGTCGGGAGCTCAGGGAGACCCGGGGGCCTGCAGACCAGCGGGGACACCCATGACCAGGAGCAAAGCTGTCCAGTCTCAGTGTCTGGCCTGGAACCTGGCTTTGCCTCCGTCTCCTCCACCCTGTGCTCATCCAGGAACCGGCCGCCCCTCCCTCTGCACAAATACAGCTCAGCCACGTACCTCTTCCTGCAGCGGAACTTCTGCTCCGAGGTCAGCGTGGCCACGCCCAGCCTCTTCTTCTCCAAATGGTAGTGAATGTCATTCCAGAGCCGCACCAGCTCCTCACTGCCTCCTGGCACCCAGCATCGCTGCGGAGAAGAGCCTGCTGAGACCCGGCCACCTCACCCACCTGAGCACGGCCATCGCCCAGACCTGACCCCTGGGAAGAGCTGCTCACTGATGTGCCAAGCAGCAGGGCATGGCCAGATGGCCAGCACTCCAGTCCACCCCAGGTGCAGGCGGTGTCCTGGAGGCCCAGCTGGCCACCCATTCACACCAGCACGTCAACCCTTCCACAAAGCACACAGGTGGGGACAGCTGTCAGTCACTCCTCAGAGGTGAGGAGCCTGAGGAAAGGGCAGGTAGGCGACTGGCTAGCGGCCACACAGGAGGCAGAGCTGTTGTCATTGACGACCACATTGTCTTTTTAAGGCTCCAAAGCTCGACCCCTGTCTTGTGTGAAAAGTTTTTTCTCCCACCAGCAGGGAAGTGGAGTGAAGCCCAGGGCGACCTGTTCCAATGACCACACTTTGAAGATGGCCAGGACGTCTGGCCCTGGCATCCCCTAGGCCAGTGATGGCGAACCTTCTGAGCTCGGCGTGCCAGCATTTTGAAAAACCCTAACTTAACTCTGGTGCCGTGTCACATGTAGACATTTTTTTATATTTGCAACCATAGTAAAACAAAGACTTAAATTTTTTATATTTATTTTATATATTTCAATGCCATTTCACAAAGAAAAATCAACCAAAAAAATGACTTCGCGTGTCGTAGGTTCGCGATCACTGCCCTAGACACCAGTCGGTGTGCGTTTCTCGCCTTTAACTCCACGTTCCCAGCGCCATCTTGGCGAGGGAGGTGCAGATCATCAGAAAGAGCCCATGTGGCTGGGCTGGGACTTGCAGTCTCTGCCAGGATCAGCCATCAGCCTCAGGCACAACAGTCAGGAAGCCACGGACCCTCCCTGCCTGCAGGACCAGCCTGGGCCTGAAACATGTGGTGGCTACAGCATTAGCTCTCGGGTCTCAGCCACACGGCACCTCTTCAGAGCATGTCTAAGCCATCCTGACGGAATCTGATCCCTCTCCTGGGAGTCTGTCCGCACTGGTGTCACCCTACATTTCATCGCTGATGCCTTCACGGCAGTTATCACGCCTCTAACTGTGGGTGCCCTTGTTTCTTTACGTCACCCGTTTATTTGCACAGATTTAAACACTGGAGCCCTCCTATGTCCCAGGGTTATGCTGGGTGTCATCGCTCTTGCAATGAGAACAGGGCGCGGCCCCTCCCTCCTGGGCCCACGTGTGGCCAGGGGAGACAGAGGAAGCACAAATGGACTCTAATTACGACCCGAGGGCGGAATCCAAGGACAGAATGCGGGGTTGCACTTGAGGATACAGGGTCACTACCCAGACAGGTGACACTGACAGCAGAAACCTGAAAGGTGGGAAGGCACCAACCTCTAGCTGAGGGAATGACATGTGCGTAGGTCCTGAGACAAAGAAATGTTGCGGAAATTCTAAGAACGGCTAGGAAGCCAGCATGGGCCACACGGAGGAAGGGGGAGTGTGGGTCCAGGCCTGGAGAGCAGGCAGGCTCAGGCCCCAGGCCCTGGTGCACACATGGTCCCACCTGCAGTTCTACAACTTCCTCCAGCTGCTGCATGAAGGCAGAGGCGGGAGGAGGACACCTCTTGGCTTGGAGGGTGGGGGTGGGAATACAAGGAACTTGGAAGAAGTGACTATCTTTACGGTAAGTATGTGCTGAAACAGGGAAACACGGGCCCTCAAATCCATGACTGAAGCCCGCTGAGCTGTCTGTATTTTGGAATTCAGAATTTCTCTGATTTTATGAACTAACACAGGCACACACTATAGAGTATGTGCCACCCCATATAGTCTGGGGCAGGCAGCATACCGCAGTCAAACATGCCAATATGTAGGCAGCAAAATGTACCACTGTCCACGAGGTGGGTAAGTAACGACCGTCAATTCCTTCACGTCAGTGCAAGCCACGTTTTCATGGAGGATGAGCTGAGGCGCCCAGTGCCCCCAGAGGAGTGGCACAGATGCTTATGGTTTCCGAGTTTTCAAGAGAGACCCTTTGGCTCAGGGACAGAGGTCCTGGGTCTGCTTGACTGCTGGCTACACGACTGGCAGCCGGCACCCCAACCTGGGACCCCCACTCAGTGAGGATTTCATCAATGGACCACTTTTCTCAGATGATCAAACTGCTCAGATATTGGTAAAGTGAGAGGGGACCATCCTGCCTTGTTTACAGAACCTCTCTCCAGGCTGTGGCTGGCTGTGGACTTTCCATCTCGCTCAGGATGCTAGTGGCTGCCGCCCCTCTCTCAGCACCTCCCCCCACAAGACCAGTCCTACCTCCAACAGCTGGAAGGCGGCCTCGTGCTGCTCCTTCTTGGCCAGCACGCGGGCGCACACCAGCGCCAGGTCCTTGTTGCTCAGGTGGTACAGGAAGAGCTGGCTCTCCAGCAAGGCCGTGATCAAGTGCTGTGCCTGGGTGAGGTTGTCCTGCAGGTCCTGGCACAGCCTGCCCACAAGGCTCACCAGCTCCTCCACAAATGGGCTGGTGCCTCCACTGTCCCGCAGCAGCTTCAGGAAACTCTGCATCCTGGGCTGGGTTGCGTCCCTCTGCAAACAAGGTGGCAGGCATCACAAAAGCCAGCTCTAACCATGGGCTGATTGGACATGAATCCTCAGACCAACTCTGAGAGGCCCCTCCCACTCGGGCACTGGTGAGGTGGCAACAGTGAGGTTACCTGAGAAAGACGAGGAACCAGGCCCCATGGCACTGCCTTTCAGTCCCTCCGAATCCGTCTAGCCCAGCTGTGCACCCGGCTGAGCCGGGTGCTGTCACTCACCCCTCTGCACCTTTCACCTGCCCCCAGGTGCCCCACTCTGTTTGCACCTGGCCTTCTATACGTGTCTCACTCCTCCTCTGGGCTCGGTGGGTCAGTGACCATGTGTGTGGGGGCCATCAGGTTTCCCCAGCATCTCCCAGCCCTGAGGAGGTGCCCTGGGCCAGGGGCTGGGCAGACACCATTTCCATTCATGTAAGAGGGGCCATGGGGCCTGCGGGAACAGGACTAGTACCATCCAGTTCTAACTGTTGTGATTTTGGGGGGGAAAACCCAAAACCTCAAACTCATCATTTGGAAAGCACTAGGAGTTAAAGGTTGCCCTAGTCACAGACATTGAAGAAAGTAAAAAGGGGTGGACCTGGCCTCCCTGGGCCGCTAGTGCTGCGGGCAGTGGCACTGAGGACACAGGCCGAGGCACTGAGGGGGCCCCACCAGGCTGGCTTCAGTTCCCGAGCAAAGAGCACTCGTCCACTGCACCCCAAAGCCCACTCTGTGTGTCCCCCCAAACATATAAGCTACAGCAAGTGGGCTTGAAGGCTTTGTGAGTTTTTCTTTTTCATACAAAGCTATGCATAGAGACGCCTATTTTTACGCACGGAGAACGCTTATCCGGGACCGACAGACATTTCCTGGCGCTGACGCTGGCCCTGCACAGCATCCCATGGAAAAGGGGCCGCCACCCGCTCAGATGGCTCCACCCGTGGACGTTCAGGCAACTTGCTAGTGGCCGCTTTTCAGATAGAAGACCCGACTCCCAAGGCTGTGCCGGATTAAAAGAGAAAGTACCGCTTCCTGTGGACCGGACTCCGGGCCAGTTACCAGGCAGAGCCTTCAGGCAGCTACGCGTCTAGCAGATGCGGCTGAACTTCCCGCGAGGCCGGCGCTCAGTGCCCCTTAGCGCCCCTCAGCACCCCAGGCTCCGCACCCCGCGGGCGCTCTCTCCTCTACGCCCCGCAATTCTCCCCGCCGCTACGGGCAGGAGGCGCTGGAACCCGCGTCCCTGCGGGAGCCAAGGCTCCAGGACATGGACAGGGCGGGGCGGGGAGAGTTCAGCTCAGGACCCGGTTCCGTCCAGAGCCTGCGCCACGGAAAAGAGGATACGGGCTGGGCTCCTGAGGACACGGCGGGGACCCCGCCCTGGGCGGGACAGAGGGACGGAAGGTGGCTGTCGGGCGCCCTGACCCCTCCACTCCCCAGGTGGTGGCCGAGGCCCAGTACCTTTCCCGGTGATGCTCCCCGCGGAGGCCACGAGCGCTGCTCTGCCGGGTGTACTTGGGTGCCACTGGGGAACCCCCCCCCCCCCCCCCGCTGCTTCCGTGCTTGCCCGGTGCGCATGTGCTCAGCCTGCACCTCCGGGGAGGAGGCGCCAAGGAGGCGGCCATCCAGCAGCGCGGAAGGTGTGGTCGCAACAAAGTATCGAGGCCGGGGCCAATCCGGCGGGAGCCCCGCCCGAGGCCCCGATGCGGGTGTCGGTGCCCAGTCCCTGTGCCCTGGGTCCCTGCACCCGGGGTGCGCAGAGAGGTTCTGGGGTTCGGCGGTGCCCACAAGCTTGGCTCTGGGAGTCCTCAAGCCCCGGGCATATTGGCAGGTTGGGGGGGGGGGCGGTGGGAATGGGGGGGGGCGGCGGCGGTGGGAGTGGGGGGGCGGCGGCGGTGGGAGTCGGGGGGGGGGGCCGCGGTGGGAGTCGAGGGGTGCGGCGGCGGGAGTCGAGGGGGGCGGCGGCGGGAGTCGGGGGGGCGGCGGCGGGAGTCGGGGGGGGGGCGGCGGCGGCGGGAGTCGGGGGGGGCGGCGGCGGCGGGAGTCGGGGGGCGGCGGCGGCGGGAGTCGGGGGGGGGGGCGGCGGCGGCGGGAGTGGGGGGGGGCGGCGGCGGCGGGAGTCGGGGGGGGGGGGGGGGCGGTGGGAATTGGGGAGGACAGGGCGCCGCTGCCTACACGCCCCGGAGGCGTGGGCAGGAGGAAGCGGCGACCCTTGGAGGGATGTTACCCCCCCCCCCCCCTGCTCAGGCCAGGATCTCTGCTCTGACTGGTGCATATGTTTGGTGGGCCGCTGGGAAACCTCCCGCCCCCCACACCCCCACTCCCGCCCCCCACACCCCCACTCCCGCCACTTCCGTGCTCACCGGGCTCCGCCCACGTACTCAGCCCGCACCTCGGGGGAGGAGGCGGCCATCCGGCAGCTCAGAAGGTGCCCTTGCTACAAAGTATCGAGGCCCAGGCAACCGTCGTCATGTGAAAGGCCTAGGAAGAAAGAAAACATGTTTTGCTCAAGTGAAAAACGTTTGCTCAAGTGAAAAATATTGAAGCAATCCAAGCAGCTGACATGTGTTCTCCAAGTTAGGGACAAATGTGTCCAGCTAGCATCAGAGGGCAGTTCTTTCAGCTCTACTTTTTCGTGATTTTTAAGCGTTAGTGTTAAGTGCAGGCAGAGTTAGGATTTATTTTTGGTGAAATAGTACTTTTAGAATTAGGACTCTATTCCTGACAACTACCTTTGCCCTGGGTATTTCCAGAAAAGGGTACATATTTTCAAATGTCAGGCGTTACATTAGGAGACTGGGTGAGACAGAATCAGTCTGACCTGTATTTAAGCTGCGTGGACTTTGTTGCAGGTTTAGGTTAGATTTAGTTCACTCCTTTCAACTATTCCGAAGCAGGATGTTTCCCTCAGCGGGGCCTGAGACCTGAACCTGCACGTTTGCGATCCGCTTGTGCTCACAGGGAAGCCAACAGCTTTTGGAAAACGTGAGCTCCATCGCCCTGCCTCACAGCGCGAGTGCTTTTCTGGGATCTGAGATCCCTTTGCTTTCCAGTTCTGACTTCAGAGCTCCCAGCCCTGTGTGAAGGCCTAGCTCTCCTGAGCCCTCCCCCATGTTTTGTAGTGCAAAGCCCTACGTGCATTGGGGTGGTTTCCATATACGTGAGGGGGTGGGGCAGCAACAGGCAAGGGATGGTGTGCTCTCTGAGTCCTTTACCCGTCTCTCAGCCTAAAAGTACAGATCGCCTCGAATGGGTTTCCTTCAACTATTGCATTGTCCACCTTCCTGCCCTCAGATAGCGTCTGCCTTGCACTTAGAAGTCAGCCCAATCTTTCATTTTTCGCTTTCTCTGCCAACCTCATACTTGTCATACTATCCCTAAGGGTCCGTGATGACCCAGGGGAAAGAGTGGCTGGAAACGCCTCTGTGGTGTGGTTCTCTGGGTTTCTAAGCCCACATGCCAGCCAAGGCGACTGGTCTACGCAGGACATCACCTCTTCCTGCCCTTGCACCCAGGATGAGAGCAGCAACTCCTTGCTGATAAAAAATGTTCCTTCATTTCTAGTGCGTTGTTCCTTTGGGTTTCTTTGTTTTGTTATTTTTGAAGCTTACCCAGTTGGTTTAACCAGAACATGACTGATTTGTAAAAATTGGAAATTTTCTGTTTCTGACATAACAATTCTTATAACTTTTTGTTTTAACACCTTGGCTAAAATTTCCATTACGTTGTTCAATAAATGTGATGAGCATCCTGGTAATTTTCTACATTTAAGGGTGCATGTCTATTGTTCAACCATTAAGTATGACATACTTCTTGAAGGGGTTAAAGAAGTTCATTTCTTATTTCATATTTTAAAATATGTATGATTATTACATTCCATCAATTGAATTATCTGTACATGTTGAGATAATCATAGGGCTTATCTTTTATCTGGGAGTGTGGTTATTTTCACGAAATGATTTTCTGATATTGTCTTCCAAACATCCTAATGTGTTTCAATTAGGATCACATTCAGCTGCATATAAGAGAACCAATTCTCCCCCCACCCGCAAAACACAGTTTTCTCTTTTGTGTAAAACATACCCAGATATTGGTAGTCTAGGGTGCCTATAGCAGCTCTGCCGTTATCAGATGGGCAGTCACTCTCCATTGCATTCTGGAGGTAGCGTCCATCCTCAGGATGAATTCAGGTGCTAGGATGGCTACGAAACCCAAACCATGATGTGCTGCATATTGAAGAGGAAAGATGAAAAGACCCTAGGGGGCTTTTCCCAGGGGTTTGTTTTCCTTCTAAAGAACCTTCCCATTAGGCCCGCTCAGCAACTTGTACTGCCATATCATTACTCAGAGTTCAGCAGCATGATTACATTTAATTACAAAGAAAATGGAGAAATGTAGCTTTTCAGCAACCGACACTGCCATTAGGAAAACCAGTGATTCTGGTGGCAGTGGACACTACCAATGGTCTGCTACATTTCACAGGGACATGGTTTTTTAAAAATATACACGATCACATGCATTTTGTTATTCCATTTGGGACTCTTAAATCTATGTTCATATGACTTGCAAGTCATTCTCTCCTTCCCCTAACGTCTATTTACTGGGAAATATTGTTAAATGTTGGAATGAACTTTCCTTGAACTTTTTTGAAAATTATCAACTATTACAGGCTAGGTTGGAAGGACCAGATAGATTCCCACACCAGAGATTAGATTTTTTAACAGAAATTCAATTTTGTTTAATGGTTGTACATAGAATCATTCTGTTAAGTTTCATTTGTCTGGTAAGTTTTCCATTGCTTTTAAGCTTCAAACAACACCCAGCACTATCCTTTCCCACACTATTGGATTACCATCTTCTTGGTTGCATGTGGATTTGCATCACACAATACAGTAACTTTTAAATTCTAAGTGACCCTGGGTAATAGTAAATTGAATGTGGACTTTCCCTTAGGTGCTTATTCTTACTGTGTGTGTATCTTCAGTGGAACATCAATGACAAAATACAGTCATG